GTGTAAGCGCAGAGTGCAATGAGTACCACACTACGGGCTGAAGTTTATACCTGGTACCTCATTCAGAGTTGTCGATTATTCGAACATCGTATCCAAGCAGTTGATATGGTAACCAGTCAGAATGAACGGCTAGCCACCAAGGACCTGCTAACCGAGAACCAAATGCTTTCTCATATGGCAGATGAAACTCTGTCATGGAGAAAGGAAAAAATTGCAACTGCTAGAAGCATATTTACATGAAATGCAGAATCTTTTTTAATGGAGCTTCGAGTAATACGTTGTTTCTCACCATGTAGCTACCAGCTAGGAATGCCCTTTCGCAAAAACAATACCTACAACTAAAAATGGACATCAGTGCGTAGTCTCTCCTCCCTTCCCACGTAGTCACACCGATTTTTCTACCTCAGAAGATGAAGATTCAGCTATTCGGCCGGGGTTCGAACTAAAACTGACGACCGTTCGACTGTGTGTCCGACGTTCTCTCGACTCAGCCACTCTGATCACAGAAAAACGATATTCTAAATACAAATACGGACCGAAGGACTGAGGGTCACCGTAATCTTGAAAAAACCTCAGTTATGGAACATACCGTTCTGACAGCCTCATAATTAAACACCCTCACCGGACGACCCAACGGCCACCTAACGAAACTAATCTGATCAGTTCGGCCTGACTGTCTTGAGGAAAAGCGCTCGCCAGAAAACCGGTTAAAAACGATCAGAACGTACGCGCACGAATGTCAGCTGACTGCGTATTCTCTGAAGATCACCGCCGACCGGCTGTTCTTCGGACAGGTTAGCGTCCGATGTCTCGGTCCAGTAGATCAGATCGCGAAGGTTTGCAACAAGACGTTCCCACTGTTCCTGCGCTTGTTCGAGACGCTCGTTCAGCAGCTTAGACTTTTTCACCGCATCCTCCCATCGTTGACTCAGACACGCGACACCGTTCTTTAGATCTGTTCGATCTTCAGTAGCACCTGTGTTCATAAATATGGACTTGGCTGTCTCCATTAGCGAGCTGTAAATTTCCTCGTGAGCCGCGATTTCAGCATTCATATCCTGCAATGAAAAGCAACTTCTCAGTTTGAAACTCATAAACTGGTTGACAAAAAGGCGATCATTTGAAACCAATAAAAAAACGAATACTGCTTTACAAGTGGATAACGATCATCGGTAATAGAATGCAACTTATAGCCATGCTGAATGAAACTGGTGACATTTCGAAATATATGCTACTGTTCGATTCCACTTTACGTCATGTCATCATTATTTTGCACATGAGGAAATGCAAAATTTCCTCATACAGCTAAATAGTAAAAGGCAGACGGCGAACCTTAGCATAACGATCAGCTGACGTTAATGCACCTAGGAAATCGGTTGGCGGAACTGGCCTGACTGGCGAAAGACCGACATCGTTAAAAAAACATCACGGACCAACTAATGAATGACTCATGCAAGACCAGATTTCACGGCGCCATGCACCATCACATTGCTCATAGTTGCTTAGGGGACCATTTAAGCAGGGCACGCTCCATGCACCTGCAGTGCTACAAGGATCCTGCATAAATTTGTCTGGTGTTGGAGAAGTCATTCGTTATTTTAAATATTGCCGTAAAAGATCAGCTTACCATGCTTATGCGGTAGCACATGAGGAGTGCCAGAACCTGAAACATGGTTCGTGATGAGCGCGGAGTCGTTCTAGCGACGTACCAGCTTTGTGTAAGCCACAGTCAACCAGACACTAAATCAGACGTTCTGTCTGCCGTACCGAAGCTTAGAGACAATTCCTCCAGGTTTTATTCATTATCGTAAGGAACTTCTTGAATCCCTAACTTTAGTACGTGTGGTTCTATGTCAACTGATGCGTCATATGCTATTTAGCTAATCATGGCGGCAAATGTTCCTGCTGTTTCTTTGTGTATTATTCTCTTGTTCTTAATGCGCTACACCTAGGGCAAGTAGTATGGTCTTATTGAATCACGACATAAATTACATAAAAATGAACCAAACAGATAATAGCGGAAAATAGAAAATGGAAGGATAGGCCACGGTTATTTTTCGGTATATCAAGACGAACAACCACAAACATTGCAAACAACATCCTCCACAGTAAGCAAGGATACAGAAACTGCTGACCACTAATACTCAAGCTAGTCTGAAGATGAACGGCAATCAAACAAATGTCATATTTAACGTGCCGAACAGCCCAACGTTTGGTGTCAAAGGAAACGAAAGTAAATAATTCGTCAGGTTTCTGACACTGTGCCCATAGTTATATGTATGGTTGCTTGAATGAGCCATGGTTCGGGACACCAAATGCAGCAGATAGTAAAACCGTTTAATGCTAAAGAGTTTTGCTGCACAGACCGCAGCACCATAAGGGCCAGATTGAGTACAATTGACTGTTTGAAGGCATTTATATTCAAGAAGCAAACAATGCCAATTTTTCAACTGACTCATCACATACAGTCAATACGTCGTTACACTGACTGAACAACGTTGGTCACGTTAAAATAAATCAGATCTTTGTCATTCTGACCTGATTTTGCGCATAAATTCTGTGACTGCGCCCCAGCTTTCACTGATAACAACAGCAGATGTGTATTCGTTGTACACCCGGATTTGATGCCGATTGAGCAAAAACAGGCAAGCCAGGTGGAAATAAGGC